GGGAACAGCCGAGAGAAGAAGAAGAAGGAGAAGTTTGCCCAGTAGACTCCGTTGTTTATTGAAGTGAAATATCACAGTTAAGCAGACAGAGGTGATGTGATGAGTTAGTAAAGAATAGAATGACTAATGTTCAACAGTACCTGACTATAGTACATCTGTATCACAAGCCTGTATCAACTAAACTGAAGGAATCACCATTGGCCCCAAAGTCTCTGTTTGTTCAGTCAAACTACCATGCATCGGCATGTATTGTAGGCTATTTCAGTTGTATTTAACATTTCAATCGGCCATCATTCCAGCCCAGAAACTCTAGAAAACACATTCTCACTCCAGAACCAGGGCTGTGCTGCTTGACTTATTGTTTTCTCTACTCACCATAGGCCAAAGATTAGGGTCAGCTTTTAATAAATATTTTATATCTCTTGCAACTTTTACTTTTGCAACCCCAGATGTATTTGGAAAATATTTCCTCAGCATGTTCAACTGTGTGAATATAGTGTAATTAACACAAGCATATTTTACCCTTGAGTAAAGAAGAGAGGACACCCTCTACAACGTCTGTTCACTCAATCTCAACAGATAATATTTAGATTCAAACTGATGTCTTTTCTTTGAAGATATGACTGAAGGAAATGACATTAAGCTAAGAATTCACTTGACAGGTCACCATTAGAATCTCTCAGTAAAATCTCCTCTTGGCCCAAGCAGTCTGAGTCCACTGTCCTGTCTACGGAGTCCGTCCAGTGGCATCCCATCTACTGACATTTTCCAGATCAAGCCAGAACATCCTGGCTATGTCAGGGGTGCTCTGCCAACTCCACATCTGTTTTTTTTTTCTGAGCTGAGTCTTTGCGTGGTACCTGTTGGAGTGAGGAGGTACCCCCTGATGCATCTACAAATGTGGCTACCCCCACTGCGTAGGACTCATACGGGCTTACTGAGCGCAGGCCCATGGGCCCAAGGAGTCAGAGGGATCTTGGAGACCCATGAATGGAAAGACTATTAAATAACTACAAAATCACTATACAAAAAGTCACAAAGTGAGGAAAAAATAGCTGCTAAACTGTCAAAGAGACGGAAACGTGAACATTGGTGCAAAAAGACTAAGGCCAATTTATGCTACTCTGTCAAAATCAACACCAGGTATTGTTAACCACTTTTTGTATAAATTTGTGCTAGCCTATTACAAATTTGGTTAGCTTCATTTGCACCAATAGCGCCAATGTTGTAAAGTAGTGTAATGCATTGAATTGTTCACAAGATGGCGCCAAAGCACGTTTTATACATCGGTGCTCTTGTAGTCGACAAATGAAACGAAAAACTTAACTTGCTGATCTGCAGCATTTATAACAAGTGAGACTTCAAGATAAAGCATCGCAGGTTCTGTATATTGAAGAAAAACAATGTTCCCTGAAGCGGCCTACCACGTGACACGTTTACAGCGTGGCAAAGCATGATGGGAAATAGCGGAACGTTTTACTACGTAAATTGTTAGTTTTTTCTTTTTAAACGAACGCCCTATGACCGGTGCACATGTATAATGTGATGTGCTAAACGCGTTGTAGCGGAAAGTAATACCGCCGCGTATTTGTGTGACACCGTCCGTTTAAATGGTATGTAGCTGCATGGCTCCTCTGCATGGGACGTGTACAACTCATACTTACCTGGCAGGGGAGATACCATGATCAAGAAGGTGGTTCACCCAGGGTGAGGCTCAGCCATTGCACTCCGGTTGTGCTGACCCCTGCGAATTCCCCAAATGTGGGAATCTCGACTGCATAATTTCTGGTAGTGGGGGACTGCGTTCGCGCTCTCCCCTGTATTTCATGTGGAAAATAAATAGAAAAAAATATATGGTAACTGTTTTAGAAAGGTCTCATTCTGTTATTGCACAATAGCATACTTAATTTATAAGACAAGCATAATTTTAGCTTAAGCCAAAAGCTTTATTTATAAATTAAATAATGCACGATTTTGTGGAGTTTAACAGAAAGAGCCACATCCAAATTGTTCCTTTCTTTGACTCCAGCAGTCACCTTGCTAGACATCTTTGATTTTAATTTGCTGCTGATTTACAGGTTCACACTTGTTGTAATCTACTGATTTGAAATTTACAATATGGTTAAAATTCTGTTACCAGTCTGTGTCCAGTGGATTAAACCAACAAATTCCTCAGTAGGTATTTTCTGAACAATCAGTGATGATGTTAAGGTATGGAAGTTAGCTGGGCCAGGCGACAGTACGCAGCCAGCGCCAGGACCAACAAAGGGGTGACCAAGAGGAAACCCACCACCAGCAGAGCCACGCAGCCTCTGTCAGTCAGCAGGTCTGAACAGTAAGGGGTTGTCCCATGAGGGCGGACCTGCAGAGATGAGAAGAGAGATGACAAATGGAATGATATGGCAGCATTATGTTGCAGAGGTACAGTAAGTCTCTCAACCTGTGTGGGACCTGTGTTCACTGAGTAATACATTTATAAAGCTGACAGTACATAAAACTGAGAGTAAAACCCCTTTCAGACATCCACCCCAGCCAAGAATTTGCCTGATATTTCGTGTTTAGATGCCATGTCTGAACAAAGCCTGGAATTCACAACCTAGTCAAATCACCATTGGTCCCAAAATCTCTTCAGGCAAATTAACATGACTTCAGTTTTCACACAACAGAATGAGGAGCATCCATTGACATGAGATTGTTCTAGCCCAGAAACACTAGAAAACATATTCTCCCTACAGAACAAAAAGCAACTCAACAAGTCTAAAGGGCCTTTTGTGACATTTAGATGCTTAAGTACAATTGTAAGAGCAAATAATAAGACTTAAAGCTGGGCTTTGAATCTGAGGGATACTGGCTTCTTAAAGGTCAAGTCAGTCACCACAATTTGGTTTCTATCTGTTGGTTGCAGTTTAGCCAAGTGATTACCTGTTAAGCCTCTGATTGAAGGAAGTCAAGAGGAGAATGAAAAGGAGAGCGTAAAGGATGGTGCGCAGCCACTCAACATGAGTGGAGCACTGCTCAAGGATGGATGAGAATGGTTGTGCTGCTCTACTTTTCTTTTCTCACCATCTAGGCACAGGTATTAAGGTAAGTTTTTAACACTTGCAACCTTTAGTTTTGCATCTCAAAAAAGATTTATGAAAGATTCTACCTTAGAGTGAGCGTTACAACTCAATGTATGTATGCCTCTGTTCATCTATAGCATGCCCAAGGCAGGAGAGAGGGCGCCCTCATCAACTTCTGCCTACTCAGTCGCAGCAGATGGGTATGTGTTAGATTCATATACATTTTCTCACAGTAAGCGTGTAGTTTTCTGAGCCCCAGTGTTATTTGACATAAACACCAGTTATATACCCAGCAGATCTTGCTAATCTGTAGCAGAAAGGTTCCTGTGCCAGTTCTGCTGATGCATACTGTATGAGTGGTGGAGAAAACCTTCACTATATATCCAAAGTGATTCCAAATCTTAGTTAGCATATAAGGCATGTAATGGCTCTTTTACCCTTTACTGTTTGATATTTTGTTTTAGCAAAGATGGTGCCCCAAAATCTGCTGTGGCTAAGGAGTCCCCCTCAGGTTCAGTCTCTGAAACAGCCAAAAAATCATCAAAGAAGCCCAAGAAAAACACAGAGAGTATGAACAAAGTATACACCTCTGTGCTCAACAGTGTATTTGGGGCCGTAAGTAGCTGACACTTGCATTTTACAATTTTAAACATATTGGGTCAGGCAGTACAGCCCTGTTCCTGATCTTTGCCATCACTAAGCCTGCTGTGTCTGCAGTATTAGTGGCTTATTAGCTGGGGCTTAATGTCACACTTCATTAGGTTTTTTTTTTTTTTAACTGAAGAGCAAACCACTTAGCTGATTCAACATGAGAACATTTACCTTCTCCACTGGACATATCTATTCTTGTCTCGCATAAGACCGAGTGATTTCTAAACATATGCATCCTTGAGGAGTGTCCTCTGTGTGTTTTAGTCCACTTCGTTTTTGTTTAATTCAAATATACACCTCTGATATTTAAAATTGTGACATATTTAAAAACTGGACATTAACTTGATGTCAAGATGTTTATATTCTGTATAATAAATTGCTGTTTGATTGATGTCTCTGCAGGACAGAGAACTGGCTCAGGCCGAGTTAGATGGTAAGTCTCATTCCCACAGCTCAGCATTTATATGAACGGAACCTATAATAATATTTGCAATCATTAAACATGTTACATGTAAGAGCTACATTTCAAATAATACCAGAAAGTCTAAAAGTCTCTATCATGTTTGCGATACTGAAGTACAGCATTAAAGAACAACATGACCAAGCATAATCATCAGTTACTGTTACATTGTCATATTCATAATTAAGTTTTTATTTATTTTGATTTTATTATCACAGTTTCTCTTCATGTCCTTCATTTCTCTCCTCATTCATGAACTCACACCCTAGTACCCGACTCTATAAAGTCTACAAAAGCTCTCTAAATATAGTACTGGAGCTAACCTAAGCTTAAAACTGTGATGTGCCTATAATTCAAACTATTCAATGAAATGAATCTTTGTTTCCCCAAAACTATATTTTTAGTTTTTAAATTTGGATGTTATATTGTTATATTATGGAATATCAGATTTAGGATAGTGATGTTGTAGCAGTTACATAAATATGTTTTCTCATCCTGTATTCTTGCTGTAACCCACTGACCTTTCCTGTAGAGTTACAAGAGGCCTTCAAAGAGTTTGACTACGACCAAGATGGCTACCTGAACTACAAGGACGTAGCTGAATGCATGAGGACCATGGGATACATGCCCACAGAAATGGAGCTGCTGGAAATAGTACAACAGATAAAGATGAGAAGTAAGATGATAAGAGCGCTTTGAAAAATATGAAATAAAAGCAAAAAAAAAAAAAAATAAAATCTGTAAAATCTTAATTGTACATTGAATTAAAAAGCACTGTTTGTATATTAAGTATGAAAGTGAATGTGACTGTAAGAGATGCGATTTACTTCATTTATTTTTAAAATTTTCACTTCAAAAATGAAGTGTCTTCAGCTGTTTTTGCTTCCGAGCCCTTTTTCTATTCCTTGCACCTCTCTCCTCTCCACAGTGGGTGGATTGATGGACTTTGATGACTTTATTGAACTAATGGGACCCAGGATGATGGGAGAGACCGCTGACATGCTGGGACTCAAAGAACTCCAGTCAGCCTTTTCACAGGTCAGTCAGTTAATAATAAAATTGTTAATGTAGTTATTAAAGTAGGGCAAGTGAAAAGAACGGCTTACCCAGATGAATGCTTTCACTATGAGCTGACATATCAAAAAAAAAAAAAGTCCCGAAATCAGTGCTTATTCACTAAGAGAAATATATTTTTAAGATGTTTATATTTACCTCTGGTATCTGACATTTTCAAAGTAGATTTTCACCACATTCTGATTCCAAAGTTCGACCTGGATGGAGATGGAAAGATCAGCCAGGATGAGATGAAAGAGGCTGTCAAGACACTGCTGGGAGAGAAGCTGAAGAAAGGAGAGCTGGAGGAGATCTTGAAGGAGCTGGACATTAATGCAGATGGAAGCATTGATTTTGAAGGTGAGACCAAGACATTTACATTTTTTTAGACAGTTAAGTCATTACCCAGAAATTTGGGTTTTAATTGTGTATCCCATTTAAAAAAAAAAAGTGCACTATCATTGGCACTTTGTAGCTTTGTCAGATAAACTCAGTACTGACTGAACATGCTCTGCTTTGTCTTCTCTCTCCTGCTTTTCAGAGTTTGTGATGATGCTCTCCATTCGCTAGCTACTGGAAAAACAGACAAGGACAGAATGCATTGACACGTCTATTTGATTCCACCACAGCTAGTGAATATAACTATGACCAGTGTGCACAGTTTGGTACTGTGCAGGCTTCCACCACATGACATGTGCTTACCTCTAAACTGTACGAATTGCTTACAGAGTGGGATCAAACAAAGCACATACTGTCAACAAAGTGTTAGTTTAGACATATTCATTTTTGCAATGACATATGTAAATATTAAAGAAACCAAAATCAGTCTCACCTTTCACTGAAACAACATGACAGTTATTTTAAGATAGTGTATGAAGTAACTGAATCACATTCAATTGTCTAACAGACTTTATTCCAAAAACACCTCCAGCCAGTTAAACAAGACAGAAATGCTAAACTAATTATAATCATCTAGAGAATATAAGTTAAATATAAATTATATTAGTGTCATCTGTCAATAACAACAATGCAACTTTCAGTTTTGTCAGGTCAGCTGTCTTTACAACTGGAGAAGCGTCTGCACATCCAAAACCATGGTGCAGATGTGTCCAACAAAAAAAAAAAAAAAAAAGAAGTCACATTTCAGAATCAAATCATCTCGTGTCTAATGGAGGCACTGGATCCAACCAAGGAGAATGTTAAACTATCTCAGATTTGAAAATCTACAAGCTTCACACTAGCAGTAACTTAATAACAATCAAACTAAGTTTATGTGCAAACAACTTGGAAAGATCTGCACCATGCTGCACATGTAATCTACTGAAATCAAAATCTTGTTGTCAGATGAGAAACTGAATAACAAAGAACAGATATTTAACCCCGTCTTCACAGGTGGAGAAGAGACAGATGAGGGAGTGAAATCAGAGGTCAGGGCTTTAAGACATGACAAATAAGTTGCCCTCTGATATGTGTTGAATAAATGGATCAAAAAAATACTAATTTTGTCCCAAAACTCTGACTAAACTACTTCCTAGTCTCTTTACTGTATGTCTGTCTGCCTTCACTCACTCACTCATCCATTTCTTCTGCCTTTTTTAGGGGGATATTAGCTCAAACCTTTGTAAACTTTATGATAACCAGACACACTGCCCAAAAGGCAGACTTGGCATGAAAACAAGTTTTTCTAGCATGCAAGAACTTGCAGAGTTAATATGAACATTTTATGAACTTTGCATGGTGCTCACCTTGGCCAGGTTGAGGGTATGCCCAATATGACACACATTAAAACTGGTTATCTGAATACATGTTTTATCATTTCAGCAGCTTTGTGATACTATGGATAGATGCAACTGTATCGTGTGATGTAATTGTGTTTGCAGCACATTCAGACTTGGTCACAATGGTCACACTGCAGTCACTCTAAATCACAACATAGAATCCTTCATTGTAGAGCCCATAACACAACGAGCAAGTGGCTAAAGTATCGCTTGTCTTTCTGCTACTTCTCTGTTTCCCTTCTTCTTGTAACTTCTCTAACTTCTTCTACATTTTTTTCATCCCTTTCTTTCTTTGTCTTTCCTAAATGGTGGAATGATAACGGTGCATAAGCTTTTTCTGTTTCGTGTATCCACAATGCAGCGTGTCGTCACTGAGTTACAGGACAACAACTGCTTGTGTAGTTTACATGCCGATGGTCATTTCTGTCTACATCTTGTTGGTCAGCTCGTCAGCAAACTCAGCCATGATGTCATGCACCCAGATGTCCCTTTCTGCCTGTGATGTGTCAGCCAGGTAGACGGTCAACTTTCTTTCCCATGGGTTAGTGGCTTCCTGTATGGCCTCCAGCTGGGCCACCAGAGGTTTCTTCTCCACGTGGTTCCTGAAAAAGATGGAGGCCTCCTCCGACCAACGCCTGGGCTTCACTCCTGCGATCAGAGGCACAAAAAAAATAAATAAATAAAAATGAACCTTGTTGTTGAGGCACACCAGGACACAAGCTCAATTTTGAGATGGAAAATTACTTAATTAATTCTTTTTGCATAGTTTGAAAATTAACAGTGGAACAGTTCTTTATTTGCAGTCTTATTTAGCTTTGTATTTTAACCATGATAAGTAAGGCAATTATTACCTCCGCCTTATTTTTACTTGCATTTGGTGGTTGGTTTGTTCCCAATGCAACTGAAAAAGAAATGACTGGATTTTGATGAGATTTTTTGGAGAGCTAGGGTATGGCGCACAGAACAGTCCATTAGATTTTGGTGGATTTTTTTTAGGGATTGTTTTTAAAGGATTCTTCACCATTGTAAATGTTGTAAAGGCTGTTGACTGAATATCAGAGCCCCCTTGTGGCGAAAGTGTGCAATTGCATTGCTGAGCACTTGAAAGTGAAGACAAGTTGAGCTTGCATGCAGCTGAACGGTGTGAGTTGTGTGCGTCTAAAGGACTCAGTACACAGTGTTATTTCAGTCTGTATGGGACATTTATTTAGCCATTTGTGGCATTTACTAATCACTCATGTCTATCATTTTTCTTGAATAACTTTCTAATGATAATGATATCGATATGATTTAAATGGGGTAGGTTTTCATCGTCAAGCTATAATATTATGAGGATCAGACTGGGAATATTGCTTTTAGGTGCATTATGGGGAAACTGAGCTGCCCTGGCAGAGGTTGCTCTCTGAGTACTGTCTTCTTACATGTACCTGAATTTTAAATGACAATTCATACATTAATTAGAGTGCCATCACTAGAGAGCTTACAGTAAATGAGAAGAAAAAGAGATGGAATGACATGTAATAATGGTCCCCATCCATACTTGACCCAGGGAGACTGAGATTCATGGTCAGTACCTTACATCCCCAGAGCAATTCATAATTCTTAGTATTGACTGCTGTGGCATTTCCCCCTAATATAGCTGAGATGAATGTAGAGAGTGTGGATGTGACATTAGAAACAGGCAGTAAGATTGTATTCTGGCTTTTTATGCAGCTTTGCTCTACCCACCAGCCAGCTGAGCAGTGATGCCCTGAAAGGACAGCTGCCTGAACTCCTTGATCAGGGGTCTGAGCTGGGTGCAGCTCACCAGCTCATGTTTACCATAGTCCAACTCATAGATAGACACCAAGCCATTTGTTAGAACTCCCTTCACTAAAACGCGATGCCAGCTGAGAGAAGAGAAGGAAGAGAAGTTATATTTAGGCACAGCTGCTTCTATTTGGCCTGTTATTGAATATCTACTACAGACAGAAACAGGACAGAAGGTGCCACAAACACTAAAAGGCATCAGAGTGATAGATTATACTTTGTTAATAGTTTATTTTGTAGCTTTCAGGCTGTGTTGTCAATGTTTAAAAGCAGTATAAAGACTGTTCAAGGTCTTGACAAAATACTTAGATCAAATTTGCACTTTTTTTTTTATAAAATGAAATGACATCATTGCTCAACTCACTTGTTCTCTACTTTAGCTGCGTATATCTGATTCTTCTCAATGTTGAGTGGTTTCTCCTCAGTTTTATTGTAGTACAGAATCATCTCTCCCATCAGCACCACCAGTTTGTACATATCTCTCCAGGGCTGCAGCACAAAGTGGCCTGGATGGCACGCCACTGATACGTATACGTCTAAGTTGTTTCCTGAGAAGGAAAGGATTGGAATTAAACCTTGTGATTTAAATGTGATTTTTAGGCCAGCATAAGGTCAATACTGCACTGAATGCAATAATGCACATGTGGTTGATTTCATGATTAGGAATATTTTATCCAGTGTCTCCACTGTATTCTTTACCAGCTGGGGGCAGCTCCAGAGGTGGTGGCAGCTGGAGAGAGGATGAGGGAAATGATGGTGTTTCTGGTGGGCTGGTGGGAGTTGTATCTCCTCCTCCACCCTCTGTGGGTCCTGACAGGGCCCTTCTGAGATGAGGCTTGGCTGGAACCGAAGCTGATGTTGGACTGCCATTAGTCTCACTGGTGCTTGAAGTCTTGGAGGATAAGGAGGGTGTGAAGATCTTAGCAGGGCTGTGAAATTAAGATAAACAATGAAATGTAGTGCACAAGGTTATACATACAGTACCTTTTAAATGCAGCTAGTTAGTGAGGGAATAATACAGGTGACTATGAAAGCAGCAGAAACCTGTGGCTAGTCAGAAAAACATCTGGTTGCTGTCTGAAAAGGTTGGACTGGGCCATCTGATGGTTGAGACTGCGAGCTGGGTCATGGAAGTTCCTGTCGCTGAACAGGTGGATGTAGATGCAACGCTTGGTCTCGTCCACCTTAGCAATCTTGGGGACAAAAATGGTTTTCGATTCTCAAATAAATATATTTTAAGTGTGTATTTGTGCTTTCAAGCCCACTTGCCTCACAATTCCATTCAAGGGACAAAAAAAAAAACAAAACAACAACAACTACAAACCACATTTCAACTCAGTTACCTTCATGCTACAGTCGGTGGTGTTGAGTACTTTCTCTCGTAGCCACTGGACAGCATCTGGAGTCCAGGATCCAACACTAACAGCCAGGTCTGCTAGACAACACTTCACAGCCTAACAGATCACTGCAGGTCATTTCCACAGGTAATGTACAGGCCCCCCCCCCCCACTACACAAAACTACAGCAGTACACAATACTCGCTACTCTTGACTCTTCTTCACATTATACCTCAAAGACAGAGACACTGACCTGTGGTGGGATCATCATAAGGTCACAGAGAAAAGGTGGTGGGATCTCTCGCAGCTCAAACACCTCAACAGAAGCCTGGACCCCCACGTCAGTGAACAGGATGTCCAGCACTCTGCTGCCGTGGAGGTTTGTGATCTAAAGACAGAAACATATCTTCATGCCTTCTGTTTCAAATGATGCTTCTATGCTGTAATTTGTAGGTCTTACATTTAAAGAAGCAACTGCTACAGAATGTAAATCCTGATAGGCTTGGGAGTGTTGTTGATTAATACAAAGATTACACAGCCAGGTATTTAGATGTCGGTGGTTCCAAACTTACATTAACTGCTTAACAACAAATGGGCACCTGTGCAGGGAATAATAAGGTATTTTGGACAGTGACACATTTTAAGTCTCTTTTTGTTCTCAGCTCAACAAAGAGCTACACCGTCCTCTCTCGCAGAAGTATGACTTTATTCATTTTATCAGGCAAATGTCAATCCTATGTGGACATGTTTAATAATTCGGTTTGTGCTGCAGGAAACAATGCCTTCTTACCTCTACACGGGACCATTTGCCTTTGTAGCGAGCCAGACATCCTTTCCCGCAAAAGGGCCTGGACACCAGGAATTCTGATGTTACCTGGAACCAAATATACAGTATCTTCAACATGTGGCATCAAGAAACCAGAGTTGTTAGATCTGACCATACTTTCTCCAC